ACAATTCAAAGCTTTAAAGTTGCCTAAACTCTTTTACAGCTTTCACTGAGAACGAACTAGTTTGTTTTAATTTGCTAATTCCACTTTATCAAGTCAAAGAATAAGGCAACCATTCCTTTCCTAAGTCCTGAGACAACTGTCAGGATTCTTCACCCTAATTATTTCATAATTAGTTCGTTCACTAGCCACATTTTGGATCTCTAAAAAAAAAGTTGATGTAATTGAGTATAATAACGGGAAAGTGGGGAAGTAGCTCAAGCCAACAGCAATGTTACTCCAGTGTTAAGCAGATTAATATTAAAAAATAAAAAGGAAGGGAGAGAGGAAGGAAGAAAGGGAGGGGGTGAGGGAGGGAGGGAGGGAAGAAGGAAGGAAGGAAGGAAGGCAGGAAGGCAGGAAGGAAGGAAGGAAGGAAGGAAGGAAGGAAGGAAGGAAGGAAGGAAAAGGAAGGAAGGAAGGCAGGAAGGCAGGAAGGCAGGAAGGAAGGAAGGAAGGAAGGAAGGAAGGAAGGAAGGAAGGAAGGAAGGAAGGAAGAAAACAATTCACAACAGAAATTGAAATCAAGCATCTATTTGGAGAATTAAGAAGATACAGCACCCTGGACAGATGCCACAGAGACTCTCTGAAGTGGGTTAAATATTCTGCAATGAAAGGGCCACACACTGGGGCCTGTATCACAGTGGTTTCTTTTTGTCTTCATTTCCCCCTTAGGATAATATACCCTAAAATACTTTGCATCTATAAGATGTATAAATTACTGCAGTTCATGAGAAATACAATCTGTTGTCCAAATATATTCAATCTGAGAGCCTAATGAAATATCTTAAACTGTACTGACTACGTTGTGGTTCGAATTCTACAACAATGCTTCTAAAAAGAATGAGGTAAAACTTTATTGTTAGGTTAAAAGAGTACTGCATAAAAGTAGGTGCAAGATGATTTCATGAGGTTGTTTTTTTTAAGTTTATGTATATTTATAGAAAAATGAAATGTGTTGGAAGAATAAGTCATACTCTTCTTGCGGACACTTCTAGGGAGATGGACTTGGGATGAGAAAAAGAAGGGTGCACTTTATTTTTCGCCCTTCTATACTGTTTACATTTTCTGTAGTTAATATGAATTATTTTATCAATAAAAACTTCTTCTAGAAACAAAAAAAAAGAAATTACATTCCAATGTTTCATTGCTTACTAAACAGGATAAATACTATACTTTGCCTAAATCAAGGAATACAGTTTGTTGAATGAACTAAAAAGTATAGATTAGAATAGGAGTGGCATGTATTTGAGAACTATCAAGTATTTTGCTGAGCCTAAAAGTAATAGCAATGATTTTTTATTTAGTCATTATTTACTAAAAAATAATTGTAGTAAACTGACAAAAATATTGAATGTTGGCAACACAGTCTAAATATCTGTATTTTTCCAAAACAAACGGCAAGTAAGTGACAGGTTTACTTAAGCAAGTGGAGACCCTATTGATTCTTTAAAAAGATGTATCTGGAAAGTGCTCAATAATTTTAAGGCTCTGTCAAACCATTATTGGCATGAGGAAGCATATAATATGCAAAATAAGCAAAAATAGCCCACTGAGTCTGCAGTTATGCAATCCGTGAAATCCTGTCATCATCCTTCCTAACAGAGTTTACCAAATTGAAAAGCCTTGGCTCCTTCTCTTTAGTGTTGTCATGGATAACTCACTAATAGCCAAACAAAACAAACAGGATAAGAGAGGAAATGTCACTGAGTTTCAAATATCTTTAGCACTTGAATTGTTGATTTTTTTTTCTTTCTTTAAGAAGAAAAGTTTTAGCAATAATTTCTATAGAATATGAGACAAAAAGACAAACAAAAATCTTAATCAGTCATTACTAGATTGTAAGACACATAAAAATGTAGTAATCAACTGGATTTGACTCCAAAGGCAAAGGAAATAAAAGCAAAAATCAACAAATGGGACTAAACTAAAAATCTGCACAGTGAAGAAAACCACTATCAAAACCAAAAGGCAACTTACTGAACGAAAAAATAATATTTGCAAATCATATGTCTGACACAACTCGACAACTAAAAAACAAGCAACCTGATTAAAAAATGGCAGAGGATCTGAATAGACATTTTTCCAAAGAAGACATACAGATGACCATCAGGTTCATGAAAAGATATTCAGCATCGCTAATTATTAGGAAATGAAAATCAAAACCACAGTGAAATATCACCTCACACTGTTGGAATGGCTATTATCAAAAAGACAATAACAAATGCTGAGGAGGATGGGGGAGAAAAAGGAATCCTGTAGACTCTTCTGGTGGGAATGTAATTTGGTGCAGCCACTATAGAAAACAGTATGACAATTCCTCAAAAAAAATTAAGACTAGAACTACTATATGATCAAACAATTCCACTTCTAGGTATTTATCTGAAGAATATGAAAACACTAATTTGAAAAGATATATGCACCCCTATGTTCACTGCAGCATTATTTACAATAGCCAATCTATAGATGCAACCTAAGTGTCCATCAGTGGATGAACGGATAAAGAAGATGTGGTATATATACAAGGCAATATTATTCAGCCACTAAAAAGATGAAATCTTGCCTTCATGACGACACGGATGGACCTTGAGGGTATTACACTAAGTGAAATAAGTCAGACAGAGAAAGACAAATGCCATATGATTTCACCCATATGTGGAATCTAAAAACAAAAACAAACAAACAAAACAAAAACAAATTCATAGATAGATAGAACAGATTGGTGGTTATCAGAGAAGAAGGGGGTTGGGGAGGGCATGAAATGGGTGAAAAGATTCTATTGTGTTATGAAAGATGGTAACTAGACTTTTGAGGGTGGTCACTTTGTAGTGCATATGATGTTGAATTACAATGTTGTATACCTGAAACTTATATAATGTTATGTATCAATTTTACATCAATTGAAAAAGAAGGTACTACCCAAGGGTATCCCTAATGCTTTTTGGCTCAAGTAAATAGCAACAGAGTTTACAAACTGGCTCCAGGGATACCCACAGAGAGAAAGCAAACAGGGGCAGGGAAAGACAGGGTTTAGGAGCCTACCCTGAGGTGAGACCCAGGCCAGGTGGGGAGATGAGCCACTCCAAAGCTGTAGGCATCATGGCACAACCTCAGTCAAAATTCCGTTGTCTTCTATAAGCAAGCATTTTCTATAACAACAACATCTCCTACATGTGTTAATCCATTTCTTTGTGGGCAGAGTAGCCTCAAATTTAGATTTTTACTTCCCTGAGAAATAATACAACACTTAAGTGCTTTTACCAATCTAGTTAGTGGTCAATACTGAACCATGAGTTTTCTCAGTCTTTAAGCAAGAAATAACCCACATCAAATTAAAGATAGCATTTCAGTAAATGTAAACACATCCTTTGGTTAATTTTCACAGTTATCATGGCAGTCTACAGAAAACTCTGAAGACCATCTTTCCTTTTGAAATAAGCTCATCTGTCAATTAGATGGAGCTGATTTTCTACCCATATTCTTGCTGAGATTCTCAAGTGCTGAACTGAAGCTCCATTCCCAAGTTCCTCAAAAGAAAAAGAAGGGATTCAATCAGCTGTTCTTGTCAAAGTCAGATATTTACAATGAAACAAAATCACTCATCTTGATGTTTTTCATTCTTGGATGGAGGAGTGGCGAATAGATCTGTGGTAATCCTCTGGACTGCTAATGTGTTCAGGTAAATCATAGCCCCTTAGGAAATGTCCACTGTTTTGTTGAGCAAAATAATATAGTTGTCTGGCTAGTAGAGGTTCGACCTTTAATAAGAGATTTTAATAAGACATTACTAAGATATTGTTTTTAACATCCTGCCATCATTAAATAACTCTATATCTAAGGGTTCAGCTAAGTTAAGTACAAAGTTAGGTGCTATAACACACCAAAACATTTGGTGTTTGGAGCCTTCTGCAGAACTAATTCTTTGTTAGTCCTTCCACACACCAACCTCTAAACAGAATCTACTTAATTCTGGGTTTCAATTGAAGAAAAGTTAAAGATAATACTTTTAAATCATCTGCCACTTGAAATTTACATTTAACAGAATCTGAAGCAAATCAGGTAAAATAATGAAATTGAAAGGAAATTCAGTGTAATTTAGGTCAATTTTTCCACAACTGTAGTTTGACATCCTGAACAATTTACAATTCTGGGATAACCTAGATAATTCATGTTTCTAAACCAAAGAGAAAAGAAAAAGAAGCAAAATCAACAACAAAACTTCTAGTGTGGGAAAAGAAAAATGAATTGATCACAAATTTATATAATTTGGTTATTGGCGTGGATCACATTCACCAAAAAAATTCAACTTTCAGCTTTTCCTGAATTTACAATATGTAAGAAAACTAAATGTTTTCAGTCAATTATGCTATTAAATTGAGCCTTTATGTTATTTGATATTTAGCAACTTAAGCATAACTCATATAAAGTACTTGAAATAAATTAAATCCATAATAAAAGGAGCAGAAATCCCTGAGTGCACATACATCCATTTTCCTTTTCTGCACAGTAGAACATGATTTCAGGGATCCTTGCCTGAGGAACCTATCCTTGCCTAACTTAGAGGAGAGTTAGTGCATCCAAAACCCTTAAAATCAGACTGTTGTTGGAGTTTATCGCCAGTTTCTGAAATATTATTTATCAATGCCAAGTTTATTTAGTCATTTCCTATCCTAGTTGTTAACAAAATATCAATTATTATATTAATAATTATATCAATCACTGGAGAGGATTCGTGAGAAAACTCTTCAGTCTATGGGACTATATTTTTGTTTATTGGTTGGTTAGTGTTTGATTTTACAATCAACAAAGGGAGGGTTGTATGTTCAAGTTTAGATAGTGGTTTACTTCAATTTTTAATAAGAAACATTATCAGAGCTAAAATATGACCTGAATTTTTACATTATTAGGTAAAATTTTTAACCTTTGCTGCTCATTATCTAGGCCCATTAATAACTCTTAAAGGTATGTAGCAATGTAAAGTTTTAAAATTCAAAAATCCTAAGTATTCAAAATACTTTTTTTGTGGCAAATTAATGCTAAGTATTATCTATATATATAGACTTTTTTTTTCTTTCCTTTTTTATGAAAAAAGATGTTTGCTTGCCAAGGTTGAACACATCTTAAACTCTGCTAGAGAACATTATGATGGTCTGATCTACTTGAATTCCTTGAAAGACAGCCTTCTCCAAATAAGACACGGCCCTTGGTTTTCAATAATTAAATAATTTCTAAAAATCCAGAAATAAAAGAGGATTTTGGAAATTTTTGGAGGAGACCTACAAAATACATAAGTCAATACAATAGCTTCCATTTGGGAAAAGATTCTCCATCAAGTGAAGATCAGCTGGACAACATTTTAAAAGCTATATTAAATGTGGAGAATTTTACAGGGCAACTTTTAGCATCAGTCCTTTTAAATCCTTATAAAATGAGAATATGACAATTTCCTTGAAAAATAAAAAAGATAGGACAGATGAAGCCCATGGTTGCAGGTTACCTCTTGTTAGTGATGAGTAGATCTCTAGGGCTGGGAATAGCACTAGGGGCTCTGGGCTGCACTCCCTACACTGTTCACTGGACCATGCTTCCTCCCTCACTATTTTCTTAGGTCACTTGACATTTACTTTTCATCTGAGACTTCTCTAAATGGGACCCTGCCCTTGATGATGAACAGAGAAACACTCAATCATTTGAATATGACTAAATACTCACGTGAGCAGTGATGAGCTTCCTTTGCCTCTGAGGATCTGGAAATTCTTCCCCAAAGCAGAGAGTTACCTGGAATCTTGGCAGGGAACGGCCATGGTGAGCAAATGCTTGCAGCTCTGGAGAAACCCCATGAGGAAAAAAAAAAAAAAAAAGCTCAAAAATCCTCATCACTGAGTACATCAAGTTAAAGCAGGAAACAAAACCTCTCTATTGGTTCCAAAGACTAAAATAGGAATAAGTACTCTTTATTTCTCTAAGTGGAGTTCTTAGCTTTTAGACCCCAGATGCAAAATTGCATGTACATGATCATATGTGTGCTTTTCCTGAGAAGGCTTCAGGTTTCACTTAATTTTTTAAGTGGAAGGTTCCCTGCAGATATAGAACCTTACTTTGCAGCATTGAATCCAGGAGGATACAAAAGGTAGCAGAAAAGAGTAAAGGAGGAAGAAAAAAGAAAAGAAATGCAGCCATGCTTAGGCAAAAGAATAATTTATACAAAGAAGAAATTTTCTTTTTAAAAAAACAGAATTTTCTGACTTGTCCCAAGATTACTTAAAACCTCACCTCAAAACTGCTGAGCCCTCATAATCCAATATCTGTGTCACTCAGAACCACTATGTGACTCAAGTACCACAGAAAATGTCAGACTTTATCTTGGAGACTGGGCACCAGTTAGGGACAGCTGTAACCCACTTGGCGCTAGGACCAATCTACGTGACTTTGAGCTGATTTCTTGCCTGTATTCTGAGACAGACGATGATTTGAGGTGAAAAAGTGTAGCAATGAAGCACTAGGGGACTCTACTTTTATGGATGTGTATATCCTGAAGCCACCACACCTACCCTAAGAAAGCAAAACAGATTGGAACACTGTTGGAAAGACACATGTTCAATCCCTGATGTTGACCCATGTCCCCTTGCCCATATTCAAGATGACTCTTATGCCTCTAGGTGCTGCTATCCTTTCTGCTAGAGTTAAACATCATGTCCACAAAAGAAACACGCTTACACAGTCTCTGCTACAATTTCTGCAGAACAGCACGGTCGCTGCATTTTTATCAGATCCACACCCTCAGGTTTTGCCCCTGGGGACTGTCCCTAGTAGTCTGCAAATCCTGAATGGGTAGATATCAAAGATTTCCACCATTCTCTTCAACTGAAGAAAAGTTTCTAGCTAACTCACTGTACTATTTGACTTCCTGCTATTTTTTCTCTTCCAGAATTCAAATCAGACCTAATCAACTTAGAATGTATAAAAAGCATTCACACTAAGGAGGTCTGAGCTAATCAGGGTGGTGAGTTGACACAATTCTCTGAAAAAGTCATGCCGCAAATGCTTCATAACATGAGAATGTTCTGTGGGAACTCTTGATTATGCACAAGCTGGTCTGCACAGCTTCAGTTTTTAAGTTCCTTGCACCTCAGTGAACACTTCAAGATAAGAGGTTGCCGTGGACAAAAAGCATAGCTCTTGGTTACAGAAAAAGGAAAAAACCAAAACAACTCTTGCTCACTGTTAATCACCAAGTTCTAGGTAAGTGAATTCACAGCCCGAGAATGTTCACAACACATCATGCCTGCCCGCTTCTTGCCTGTATCCACTTTTTAATTCACTGTGATTGAAGCCTAACTTACAGTCTAGTTAGAATGGAAAAAGTCTACCTTCCTGAAACATGGATGGCGAGAGAAACCCAGAGAAACAAGTGCCATTTCCCTGGGGTTCCTTAATTAAAGCTTTAGCTTTAATTTGGTAGCTTCTGGATCCAAAGAGACCAAGATCCACAATCTCTGAGGCAATCCAAACCCAATGGGTTCTTTCAGACCCCATTGCAGAATATAAGATGCAGACAGAGGCATCCCTCAGCAACTCTTGGCTCTTCCTCGGGCCCCTACTGTGGTCACCATGCTGGTCCCCAGGACAGACAGGACAGTCACAACACAGGATCAGAGGCAATTCTGCAGCTCAGTGACAGAGTGAATTTCTCACTGCAGTGCTGCCTAGGGGAACCAGAGACTCGGTTCTCCCTCTTCCTCTTGTCACACCTCTGTGGGAGGGTTAGTTACAGGGAGATATTTGTTTGGGGCCTCAAAAAAGAACTGAATCTGGTTAACTTAAACCCAAAAGGCTAAGCAAATGTCAATGGGTGCCAGAGCACAGAGAAGTTTCATATTTTTATATTAAATGAATTGAATCAAGATGCATGTTCAGAGAAAGGAGAGGCACATGAAAACCCAAAGACATAGAGTGTTTCTATAGGGGCCACTTATAAAATAATAGGTTAAGGATAAGGTAGAGGAAGAATTTGCAGTTAACTGGCAGGTTAGAACAACTTTATCCCTTCTTGCCTGTATCCACTTTTTAATTCACTGTGATTGAAGCCTATAGTCTAGTTAGAATGGAAAGAAGCAACATCAATATAGACAGCTAAATGAAGCAGCATCAATATAGACAGCTAAATGAACTCTCTGGATGAAACTTCAACAATAACGTGGCCGGAGGTTTCACAAAAGCCAGCCCAGGCTAATTTAATTGTTATGAAATCAAAACTAGGAAGGCAAAACTTACTGGTTCTGGAAAATATAATTTGAAACACTCATATCATAATGATAGTTCAAAACCTTCTCATAATTTCCCTTTTGCAAAATCAGTTCAACACACTCTATCCTTGGTTCCTCCTGTCAGAGGGTATTTGCATAAGGATAACACATCTCATAACCAAGAATGTTAACAATACACTTCTAACATTTACAATTTTCTTAAGAACTTAAAAAAGCTGAAATATCAACATATATGCTTGCTGAGATCATATCACCAATATAACATAGACTTTATTAGTAGGTGACTATTTGTTGAATTCCAGAATGTCAAGTCATCAGCCTGAAGCACAGTTACCTTGAGCAATCCTCCTCCCTCTTCACACTCCTCAGCTGATGGAGAGGAGCAGTTAGTAAAAGGAGAGGTAAGATGTGAACCAAACAAGAAATCTATTCTGGGATCATGCTTGGTGGGCTCAGGTGTTAACAGAAGGAATACCTATGTCTGGGGCAGGAGTGACCTATTGTTTTTGACCACTGTGGTAGACATGCTATCATCACCTTATCTCTGTGTAAGGCTCGCAGGTATGGGCACTACATTCTAATCAATAATTAGGTACATTACCTGATAAAAACTGCTGTGTGTCAAAGAGCTTGCAGGTCTGGTCTCTCTCTAGTTTGTTGGGCCGGTCGTTGCACAGTGCCAAGGGCCCATCCCAGTAGATCCTGCTCTGGCACAGTCTTTTGGCATAAAGTCCATCAGGAGCCATCCAGAGGACCACGCCCCTTTCTAGGTGGCTCAGCAGTTTCTCAATGTTTTTCCTCTGGCCATTGTCCTCTGGATAGGGGAAGAGGACCTGGTCCAGGTTACTGGCATCATAAGTGTGCCCATGGGAGATCCGACAACCTTCAGGGCTGGCCGTGGTCAACTCTTTCACCAGGATTTCCCGGTAGTATAAGCATATATGGAGCCGGCAGTCTGAAATCACAGAACTTCGGGGTCAGTGCTATGGGAACAAGGATCATTGCATACCCATGAGGATGCCAAACTACTAGCCAGAACAAAGAGGATTTAGTGAGACACCGGTGTCCCAAGATGCTCCATAGAAAGTAAAAAGTTCCAGGGTCAAGGAAGTCTAGAAAATGCTGCATGCCTTTATCTCCCTCCTGGAGATTCACAAACAATGATAGATATAAGAGAAGTCCCACAAGAAATCAAGTTGATGTTGTCTGACTCCGCATATTGCAAATTTATGTGACCATGGGTTATTTGGGGGTGAGGTGGGGAGCATAACTTTCCTTAGTTTTCTGCAAAATATATTTGACTTGTATTAGAGAGTACCACTGTTGAGAACTTCCTAGTTTTTTTTTTTTTTTCCTTTGGTGATGGTGGTACTAGTGATGACAATACATGTCAAAAATACTAAGTCATACACCACTGAACAAAAATTTATCTTTAAGCATGGCAATCAGTTTTGATATTAAAGGAAGTAGACCTAAGATTAATTTCTACTAGCAAAGAGAATATAATAATGTTTCAGAAAAAAAAGCAAATATGCCCACACATCTGAAACTACCCTAAAATATCAATATGATGTTATTTAAGTAAAAAAGAAAATAATTATATATCTATGCATGTGCACATTGAAGTTTTAAGAATGCTAAGCACTAAGGCCTTATCGGTGGAGATACTGGGTGGTGGAAATATGGTGTTTTTATTTTCCATTTTTGCTTGTCTGATTTTTTAAATTAATTTTTTACACTGTGTATGCAATACTTATATAATAAAATCTATTAATGTGGAAAGAAATGAATCAATGAGATAAATGTTCTGAGAGTAAAGTCTACTGAAATTCTACTAGGTTATGTGTTTAAGTTAACTCTAAAACTGTGCTTTCTAAAACATTTAAGAAGATAAATTCATTTATGAAATTTTATGACCCACAGACGGAAAGGACCAAGCTAAGTTTGCAAAGGGCCCCTTAAGTGAAATGCAAAAGGGCTTCATGGCTAGGCAATTGGTAACTGCGTGGATTTAAAAATGAATGGGAATTGCAGTTCTCTAATAAATGTGCTCAAGGTGATAATTAATCTGCGTTATGCATACCAAAAACAGAAACCCACAAAACCCTCTTATTCCTCAATGGCAGGTTTTGAGACTTAACCCACATACTGTCTCAATTCTCCACTTCAATTTCTGCCACTGCAAACAGTGGGTGAGAGCTAGCTCAGATGGTGTACCCTGATGAGAGTGGGAGTTGGCCATTAGAGGTGACTTGCAGGGCAGGTTTCATTTCATTTAATGTCATCAGAAATCACGAGGTCACAGGGATATAAATAGCTGTTTATTTCCTACTCTTTAGTAACCCACACAAGTCTTAGGTGCTTAAGAAAAGGGTTTGAAAGTTTCTGAAAACAAACACAAGCCTTTCTGCTTAGAAAATTTCCTCCCCTCTATCACACTCAGGAGCATCTTCGGCAGTAGCCTCATTCATAACTTTGGAATTGAAAAGAACTAAATGATAAAAACTCCAGCTCCCCTGGAAGCGAGAAGGGTGCCCACAACTCTTGTTTCCTTGTAACCTTGAGAATTTAATTTATATTTTCTATTACTGATTTTTAAAGAAGCTGGGGAGGGGAGGGGCTAGGTGAGAATTAGGGAACTTAAGTTATTCATTTTTAATATAAATACAAATCCCACTTTTAAACAATTCAAAACATTATCTAAAAATAAATACGCATATATCATATGTGTTTAGTATACCTTGAGATCACATGTGTTTAGTATACCTTAAAAAAGGAAAGATCTCCAAGGTGCCAAAATTCTTTTAGAAATGGAACTTTAAAAATCATATTTAATCCATAATCTTTTGCAAGACATATGAGGAAGACCACAATACACATTGGAATGCAATGAAGGCAAGGAAGCCAGAACTAATGTTCCCAGGAAGCTGATGAGGAAAACCCATTTGTGGCTCAACCTTGGAAGAATGATCAGCTTTTCAAAATGAGAAGCTCTTTTCTAGAGAAATTATACTACATTGTGAGAGCGTTAGCCGAAGAGGGGCCCTTGGTAAATGAAACTGGAGTGTTTGCATATTCTTGGAAATTCAGATAGATGTCAATGAAAACTTAAAATTACTTAACCAGTACGTAGAATTGCATCACAATCATAAGCTGGTTTTTCAATGCTAACTTTTCTAATGGTGATCCTCATTCACACAGGTGAAAAGTAAGATGTGTCCACGTTTACTCCAGGTACCAGCTGGAGGAAAGCGAGTGTCTACAGGCTGTGCTCACCAAGAGACCTATCAGATCCACCCAAAGGTGAAGGTAGAGCACTGCAGAGGCTAGCCTCCAGTGAGTGCCTTCAGATCCCGAACGCCACACTCACCTGAAAGTGCCAAAGCTTCGGCAGACCTTATGCTTGGCTCTATGGGGATTCCAGGGGCCTGGGACTCAGATGGGGCACAAGCATAAAAGGTTCCTGTCACCTGGCAACCTGTATTTGCAAATAAAAATCAGATGATGTCTAAACAGAGTCCTCCACACATAGGGAGGCAACTTCTCCCTGAGTATGGCTGCTTAGCCCCTGGCAGGTACACCAACCCTGAGAGGGAAGGGCTTCTGGCCAGCCCTTCAGAGCTAACCACTGGCTCTCTCTAGAGGTAAAGACAAGCTGAAGTCCAATAAGAAAAACCAAAGTTGAGGGAAGGAGCCTTTTCGTAGCTTTGGAAGGAAACTTGGAACTCTCCCTCTGTAATTTTCCCTTCTTCCCTCTCTCCCTCCAGCCAGCCTGCCTGCCCATTACTAGTGTGTGTGTGCGTGTGTGGTGAGAACATTTAAGGTCTATTCTCTTAGCAGCTTTTCATATATTAGAGTATTAACTACAGTCACCTAGCTGGGCATTAGATCCCCAGAACTTATTCATCTTATTATTGGAAGTTTGTACCCTTTGACTAACATCCTTCCATAACTGATAAACAAGGAAACTGAGACTTAGAGAGATGAAGTGATTTACCCCATTCACACAGCAAGTTCACAACAGAGCTGTGAGCTCAGGTCTACATGAGTTTTCATGCCAAAGAACCCAATTAAAAACTTACAAATTATTTATGTTTGTTTAGCTTGCTACCTCTGAGTTCAGGGAAAAACTGAACCATGACTCCTGGCAGCACAGTGCTGTGTGTTGCATTAAACATTAATAGAGAAAGACCATATAACAGAAACTAATTTTTCTGGCACTTTAATTAATCTGGTCACCTATGTTTCAAAATACATCTGCCTATTTCATCTTTTTGCACAGGTCTAGGTATTGTCTCTTTATTAAGGTTATTAGTTCAATAGAGCCTGATATACTAGACACAGGTCTAAATTTCAAAAACCAGTTAAATGTTAGCTAATTCCTCCACTATGCTATGGAAAACCAATCTTTGCTGCAAATCATTCTTGAAAAGCTAAAAAACTGAATTCTGAGCTTTTTTTTTGTAAACATGTGACTAAATACAAATGTTACACAATGGTGTACTTCTTCAATACTTTAAGCTAAGAGTGACCTGGATATGACTGGAAAAAGGGAAACAGACCAAATTGTAAAGGAGCAAATATTCCTAAAACATACAAAAGAATCTATGTGTTGACCTTTCTCAGGATTTCTATTTAAATAACTCAAAAGTTCTAAAAGCTTATGTTTTGCCGTATTAAATATATCATGTGAAATTTTCTCTTCTTTTAGCTTCTGCTAAAAGATCTCATCTTGATGTCCGGGGAACTCCTTCCTACAGGCGTGGAACCACATCTAACCCAGAATGAGCAGAGCTCTTTGGGATCCAACACCAGCACTAGGCATCCTGTGGAGATTTTTTGTTACTTTTTTTTTTTCATAGTATTTATTCATTCCTTTTTCGTCACCTCTAATCCCAAGAATTACAATGGGCATACCATTGTTTAAGAGAAATATACTAGCTCAATAATCTCCTGGTGTCCTTATAGAGGGAGGGGTTGGGTACAGCTGTAGTCAACCTGTTTTACAGATGTGTAGACAGAAATAGACCAGAGAGATTATGTGGCTCTCAGTCAACATTAATGGACACTCTAGGAGGGGAGACAGAGACAGCTAAAATCTATTTTTTGCTAAAGAGTAAAAATAAAACAAGATTACTTGAGGAGGATGGAAAATGTTAACCTATTGAACAAATAATTTAAAAAACATAGGCAACAAGTTTGACATCTGACATCCCTTGTCTTAAGTGGAAGGCTGGGCTTTGGGTTAGATCTGAAACTGAATTCTAGTCCCTTACTTTCACAGGGTACATTGCTTCTACAAAAGATAGAGCAGTTTTTAGCTACCTGCAGTGATCTCTGTGATGTTTAAATAAGATCTAACATAAGGTAGTTATGAGCATAGGACCTGGCACACAGTAGGCTAGGCGTGAGTAAACCTTGACATCTTTCCTCTGAGAACCCTACCATCCCACAGGAAAACAGAAGCCTCTCCTTCACTGTATATGAGGTCCTTCTCAGCAGCTTTGGGAAGGGGAAAGAGCTGTGGTACTGGCCAGTAGGACAGATCAGGAGAGACCAGGGCCCTTAGTCCAGGTTTGCTCTGCTGGGTTAGTGGCAGCCATAGGAACCAGCCCCAGCACAGTCCTTACCATTTTCACAAGCCGGGCCTTGCCAATGGTGGCTTCGGGGTCCAAATGTCACAGGACATTGATATGGGATTTCGGGGTGTGGCTGATCAGGGACGTACTCCCTCCAGCTTCGGTCGTGGGATGGCATCATGTAGTTATGAACCTGCTAAAGGAACAAAAGAGAGGAGTTGAGATGAAAGCAACTAGTTCAGAAGAGGACAGTTGTTTGGCATTGGGAAAGGGGAGCAGATTATTTTATGTCTTCCCAAAATCCTCAGGGAGTTTGGCTGGTAGCCAAATCATTTTAACATCTGAAAGACTTTGGAGTGAATGGCTCATCACGCTAGGTGAAAACTAGCCATAAAGAATAAAAAAGCACAATGGAGTCAGTGTGTAATGATTTATGTAAAGCTTCATCATATGGCTAAACCTGGCACCAAAAGTACTGTAAGAAAATTTGCCTTCTTTTCCCCACCAAAGCGAGTACAACAGAGATGTAATTCACACCAGAAAAATCTAAAGAGATCAGCTGCCCTGTGGTTTCACATGATAAAGTACTACTTCCAAAATCTTCAACTTCCACAATAGGCCTGTTTCCCAGAAGATTTCAGAATCAGTAGTAGAAGTCTATACCAATAGACAGACATACCCACCTCTCTCCTACTTAAAACTAACACTGATAGCATCATCAGGTGAAAAGTGAGCCATTCATTTAATGACTAGTGATTTAATTTGGCTGCTTGACTAATAGCAAAAATGAAGTCATGCTGTTTTTGTTTGTGTGTTTTTCCCATTGTGTGGCCTCACACAGACCCAGCCTTCCCTTCTGGAAGCCCTGCGCCCTGCACCATACCTGAGCGGGGAGTGAGGTATAGGGAGTTGTCATGGTGTAGGGGTGGCTCATGGTCATCTGTGAGTCCTCCAGGGTGATCTGCTTTGCTCCTATGTGTTTACACAAAAGGGAAACGGCACAGTGTGAAAAAAAGGAACTGACATAACTAAACGTCAAATCTGAGAAAAATATGAGGATTTAATTCCTAGAATGCATAGCTCAATGTTGACAAATAAGGCATTTTTAGGCAATTCTCTTGTTCGTTCCATTAAACTGATTTCTACAAGGTCCAACTTATGGTGGACAGGTAGAGAAATGACATGCTGTGTGTGAATGAGCCTTGTGACATAAAGAGCCCCATCAGCAAAATGTCTGCAATGAGGTCACCTGTATTGTTTGTTTAAAATGGAGATTCTTGGACTCTACTCTGACACACTGATCAGACCCTTGGAAAGAGGGAATCTGAATTTCAATAAGCATCACAGCTGATGACTAAAAAAGTTGACATTTTTATTACTATAAATAGTAACAGTATATAGATATATGTATGCTTCCTTTCTATAAAATGGTGAATTATGAAAGATTAGTAGATAAGTAAAGCTTTAAACAAGTTTTCCTTTTTTTTTTTTTTTTGAAATTTGACCTACATCTTAATAGAACTAGCTGGAAAACACACACATGTGCACAAAACAGATGCACACACATATGTGCACACATACAGGCAGAAAACTGAAGTCTGAGAAAGTATTCTACACTAATACCACAAGTGTTTCAATTTATGACCCAGAGAACTTGGACAATGAGCCTGCTGGGCTTGAACATGAGGCAGATGGCAGGCAGGCTATAAAAAATAAATGAATGAATGAATGAATGAATGAATGAATAAATAAATAAATAAATAAGTGAGCCTTAGAGTCAAATTACAGTGTTATAAGTGTCAGACTGCCAATATTCTGGGACCCAAACCCTGAAAGTCCCACCTTTTTTGGCTCCCTCAGGAACAATCCTGTATACTTTGTAGGGGTCTGAGATGTCCAGCTGGCTCCTCTCAACCAGTTCTTCAAAGTCATTGCTTTTGTTCAAAGCACATCGTAAACGCGTCTTCCAGGTAGGAGGGTCTGGCTTATCAATGCCTTCTCGGAACTTTCCTTTAAATAGTGCCCAAGCCTGGTAAGAAAGAAGAAGGGAAAAGTTTAAAATACAGGTCTTTTTAAAAAGGATCTGGGAATTGTGTTTCTAAAGAAAAGAGGGATACTTACTTAGGTCCTTCAAATTTACACTGTTGCTCAAAATATAGGACAAAAATATACCAGGTGTCCTCTATGTAAAATACTGTTTGTCACCTGGGTCTCATTGCTGAGTCGAAGACAAGTGGTTTGAACATTCTCTAAGTAATTGTAAAAGGTGAGTAAAACGTGAAGGAACCCTGGAAAAGGCCCTGCCTACCCAGTTCCTGAAGCGGATTTGACTGGAACTAGGGACAGATCTGTGGGATGAGCTGTAACTCACAAAGTACCTCTGGATGGCCAGTCTGAGGTATTCTGAGAGCAAATTCCCTGAGAAAGTCCTCTTTGCCTTTTCTGCCCACAGGTGGTGGGGCTGGGTCTTAATGCACAGTTCATTGTGTAGACTCTCTAGGGGAAAATGATCACAACAGGGACACACACACAGAGGGCGAGAGAGGAAGATCCAGAGAGAGGCCCAAAATAGAGATCCTGAGAGGCAAAGAGAGGAGGAGAAAGAGTGAGAAATCCAAATGAGGATTGAGGGACGGGGGAGAGAGGAAAAGAAAAAGATGAAAGAAAGAAGAAAGAAGAAAGGAAAGAAAGAAAGAAAGAAAGAAAGAAAGAAAGAAAGAAAGAAAGAAAGAAAGAAAGAAAGAAAGGA